CCGCAAAGCTTTCAGCTCTCTGCACTGGCTGGCTTTTCGAGCCTTTCGCTCATCCAACTTCCTTGCACGAGCGAACCAATCTCGATTTCGCATATGTCATCTCTCTTTTTCCATTCTATGCACTTGCGCCCATGTCGACATATCTCCCGGCAACGGAGAAGCGCATGATGAGAACAACAATTCTGAGATCTCCTCCCACCGCTCGTGGGGATCATTGGGGTCTGGCCTTTCCGGCGTTCCCTCGCTCAAGTCCCATGGTTCAGGGATATGTCTGAGCGCAAAGGCCATTTTTTAAGGCCAATTCGGGTCCTCTCTGGCAATTTGATCTGCCATTCCAGGACCATACCACCTCTGGATTCTCACCAGTCTCGCGGTGGTTAGCTTTTCCCCAAATCTTTCTGCGGCCATTTGCCAGCCTTTGTCCAATTCATCAATAAGATCACTGTGGAACTTAGTCCACATAGCACGGCATGGTGGCTGCCGGCTGTATGGAGTACCAGTGTCTGGAATGAATTCCAGCACCTTGGCGCTCTCTCCCGGTCCCCACTCCGGTAATGCGGGTCTCCGGGGGCTCCACTCACGACCTTTCGGCCTTTCCGGACTGGCTCCACATACAGCACAACCGCTTTCTGTGAGCGACTCGTCGCTACTCTGCTCCGGTTCTGTAGAATCCCCAGAATAATGGCGACCAAATGGGACAGATGGCGGAGCTTCGGTCAATGTATTACAATGGTGGTGGGCCCCCTGGTCTAGACAAGGTCGAGTGCACCAGCGAACTGAGACAAATGGCCTATGGGGTGCCCACTTTTATAGGTGGCGCGCTCCCCCTCTCGTCATGACACCCTCGGCCTTCTGTAATGTCCAATACACTCCTGTCATGCCACCCTCGACCTCCTGTAAGATCACCTCGGCCCTTGGAGAGCCACTCACAAGGTCCCTTAGCCCCTTGGCGTACCCCTAGTAATGCCAGGCGGCTTCCCCAAGCTATACCACATCCCTCCAAGGTACCATGGCCGTAGAGGCGCTTGTACCTATGATCCAATGTAATGCGGGTACCTGACAGGTGCCTGTACTGCCGGATCAACCCCATAATCTCTTGGAGTGTACTCCACCACTTCCTGGCGGCTCCCATTCGCCCATGACCGCGCACTACATCATAATAGACTATAATGTGCATAATCACACCGGTTCCATCAAGGAATAATGCCCCAAATGGCCAGAAATGGGTTAAATGATCTAAATTACCTTAATAACAACATTATACCGAAAATTGGCCCATTTAACAAGATGAACGTGGCGATCATGATTAACACATTTCTAGACTCAGATGAACACATCTAACTCATCTAAGTCATCTAATTACCCGTCAATGTACAGTACGGTATCCAGTCACTACAGGTTCACTAGGTCACCGTGTTCTTATGTGCACTTGTGACCTGACCCGCGGCTCCGGGGTCCTGACCTTTCGGCCTCCGATCTCCTCCCCTTGCCCAACGGGCTGGACCTTCTGGCCTTTATGCGATTGTGTCCGAACTTTCGGCACCGTCTCACCTGGCGACGGGCTCTTCCGCTTTGGCCGCTGTTTGCCGACAGTCTTCCAGTCGCCCTCCGCTTCTGGAATCCTCGGCATGTGCGGCTCAGATGGACCAGGTCCCTTTTCGGGTTGTTTCGCTTGTTGAGCGACCTTCTCTTCTGCCTCTTGCGCCCGCAGTTTGTGCTTCAGCAGGCGGTCGCTCAATTCGACCACGTGCTGTTCAGCAGCGGTCTTGGCCTCTTCGGCTTGGCGGCTCTGTTTTTTCGCCTTCCTCATCGCCACCTCGTTCCTTCGGGCTTCTTTTTGAGCCGCCGCCACTACAATTTCCAAGGAGGCGATCTTCTTGGCGGTCTCTTCATCCCGCTTCTCTCTCGCCTGCTTGGCCGCAGCAGCCGCCATCTGCTCCAAGAGTTCCATGATGTCAGGCGCCTTCAGCAGGGCCGCAACCGTACCCGGCTCTGGCGCCTCTTCTTCTGGGGCTTCCTCTCCTGGGGCTTCCTCCGCCTTGGCCATCGGCTGGTCGCTACCTTCCGGCTCAGCTCGACCTGACGATGGCCCGGCAACGTCCTTCCGGACTTCTTCCTGGTCCTGCCCATTCCGGGCTGTAACATCCTCACCGACCGAACTGGCCGGCGTCCCCTTCCGGGGTGTCTCTTCCTCGCCCGAAGATTCGGGCGTGCCATTCCGGGCTTCAGGATCCGTTTCCTCAGCCTCCATAGAGGAGGCCGGGGAAGGGGCCCGGTGTGCCGTTCTCGCTCGCCCTCCCAGGCGAAAGCGTGGTAGCCACCCCCAGGTGGGCTCCAAAACCAAATGATACGTAAAGCGTGTGGGTGTGGGGTTCCTGCCCTCTTTGAGCCGCGGACCCGCCTCGCCGGGCACTTAGGTCCTTACGGGGACCTAGGCAGGACCACCCCTCCTACTCCCGTATCCTAATACCTAGAACGGTTACCATGGGTTGAGGGTAGTTATCTTGGGCAGGGCGTCCCCCACATCAGGCTGGTGCGCGTAACAGAATGAGTGAACAGCCTCACAGGCAATGTGGAAATTCGACACATTGATCTTGTTACGTGTCTCTGCTAAACTCAGATAGTCAGGCAATATCCCCTTGCAAGCGGTGTACACTGACCTCGCAATGATCGGCAAAGAACCCTACTCCCACAACATCAAGGGCTACAATATACATAGGTCCACAGACAGCAACACACTCAGAGAAGAAACCTGATGAATGTCCATATCCCCATCTTTCTCATCCATCCAGTTGCCCGGTCGACGCTTCTATCAAGCTCATGTTCAAGGAATAATGGTTGTTAGGTTGCAATCGAGCCCTGCCGCTTTTCAGTGCCCGCCGCCAACGGTTCCCTGTTTCCGGCCACACCATGAATATGGCGCAACCAGCAATGGCGCCACTTCTGCGTAACTATCCAATTGGCGCATCCATCCCACCACCAACGGCATGAAATTAGTCCCTCGGTCTTGTCCGTGAAGATCCCTTCTTGTTTCGGACACCCCAAACCACTGATCCACTGACCGGCGTTGGCCTTGTCACCGGAAGTAGGGGTCTTCAGGGATGAGACAGAGGGACTGATTTTTTCTCACCACCAGCGGGCGTTCACAAGTTGCCTCCAAAGGAGTGACCCCTAATTAGGGTCCTCGCGCAGCACAGCAACGGACCCCTGCTGCCGAGCACGGTGCTCCGGCAGGTGCCGTCCTCGCGCCGCGACCGGCGCCTCGCACGCTCGCGCCCTAGTCAGGTCAGCGGGAGCCGCCGCCGCGCCAGCCGCCCGCCCTCCCGCGATCGGCAGCCGCGATGTCGTACTACGAAACCTGGCAGGCCCTGGGTAAGGCCCCGCGCAGGCGTTTGGCACGATGCATTGGCACGCGAATCAGTGCTGGTTGGCGTGCCTCAAAACTGAGTGTCGGTGGATTGAACTGGTGAGGGGTTGAATGTTTGACGGGATGTGCCTTCTTATCAGCCCCCTGCCGCCTCCCCGGTTTGTTTCGGAATGGAACGAGACGGTGGCGCTGGGCGGAAGCGAAGCGGAGGTCGACCATGGCGCCGGGGTTTTGGGGGCGGATGGCGTGCCCTGCGTGATGGGCACGCTGGATCCCGCCGCGCCGTTCCCCAAGGCTTTGGTGCTTGCCGGAATGTCGCTCCCTGGCGCCGATTGCAGGAACGCAGTTCGCTTCTGCTTGCGGGCGCGTCCTTCCATGTGGGCGTGGCGAGTTGGATTCCGCCAATAGATTTTTCTTTCGCTCTTCTTTTTGTAATTGATCCGTTGAATGCATTTGTTAAGGAGTGATAAACTGCTGGCGAGGCGCCTGAACAGCGACGCTGGGCGTAGTAACATGGGCACCATTTGTTCGATGCCGTTTGTTCGCTTCCCATCGACCATACAGCGTAATATCCGTTTGGACCTTGTTCCTGCAATGGGTTCGCTGAGGTCTTGAAGACGCAGCTCATAGGGAACAGCAACATGGGGCCCATGGGGCGCCGTGTCTTGTCTTGGCCAGCAGAGGTCATCGGATTCAGACATGGGACCGTGCTGGTAGCCAAGGGCGTATCTGCCAAAGGAGATGAAGAGTGTTGATCAACACCATAATTGTGTGTTGCAGGCCGAAATCGTTCTTGTGGCGTTGAGATCAGTGTCGATTCCTTGTTCTGAAACCACTCCGCCAAGCACAGCAGCAGATCAGGCATTTGCAAGTTCAATGGCAAAAATCCCATCAGAATCGAAACTGAGGCGACTGCGTTTGGAGTGACTATGTGTTGCTGGCAGTCATGGCTCACCTTGCACAGGCTCTGGCCTTGTATTTAGTCCAGAATTCTCACTAATGGCAGCCCCTGAGAAATTCAACATCACCACACCATTTGGCGTAAATTCGCCACAGTATTATTTTCTGCGCAACTTGGCCCTATTAAAGTCTGTTAGGAGACCTTGATTGTTGGCTCAGTAGTCATCAGCTGCTAATTGGGAACACTGATTGTCACATTTGTTGCAAGTTTTGTGCTTAAATTCCTTCAACCTTTTTTGGGCAGGAAGAATAATTGGGAATGTAAGCTGCTGGAGATTGTCAGTTTTCTGATTGTTTTGATGCCAACCAAATTGACGCATTCAGAGAGGATTGGCTATTGCATCGTCCCTCTGACAATCGTCTCTCCACTGCACACACAACCTTCTGCAACATCTTTGGATTTGTGGGAAAGAGTATCAGAAATACATTTGCCCAGAAACGAGGTGCCTATTGTATAACATGTTTGGCTTTCTTAGTACATCCAGTCCTTGACTCTGGATGTTGTTGCCATTGATTCTGCAGGGTGTATCAACACTATGGGGTGTTGTGTCTCTACCATGTGACACATGCCCATGACCTCAAAAAACCTGTCCTTGCAGTGGGCCTGGTGTTGTCTATCTTGGGTAACCTTGTGGTTGAGATAAACAAAGGCAAGCTTTGTTTGTGCCTGCAGGCCTGCAGTATCCACAACCACCGCCCAACATGAGGCCATACAACCAGTATTATGCCCTGCAGGCAAAGGAGCAGTACGTTCTGGACGGCAAGGTGAGGGGAACGCAACACCTGCATGGGTTTTGAAAAGTCAACGCCAGGGACCCACATGGCGATGAAGGACACTATGCACATCCTGATTATATTGCCTCGAAGTTGTTCATACAAGCTATGACCTTCAGGAGAGCCCAGAATTGGATTCGTTTTGGATGAGCTCATTCATGTATTACCTGTGGGCCTGATAACATCCTGGACATTGTAATCAGCTTCCATTTGCAGAGAGTTTTGCACCTCATATTGTGCAGTCTGATTCCTTGAAAGATGCCAATGGACAAATGCCATAACAAGATATCATTGTAGCCCAGGGAATTGTTGCTCCTCATCTTGCAGTATTTGATCCAAGGGTTCTCTGCCATGCGTTCCAACTGCAAGCCAAGAAACCTTCTGCAATCCCACGCTTTCCTCTGTTCGATTTCCTTGAATTGTGGTCATGTTCAACTACAAAGTGCAGTGGCCCTGCTGTGTCTTGCAACGATGGCACAAGGTATTTGCACAGCAGGCACAGAATATGGATCATACATAGTGTGGAGAATGTGCCGCATCCACATTGTTTGTTTGTTCCTATTGAACATCTAGGTGAAGGGGGTGTTCATGGGACTGGGTTGGAAAGCTGGATGTGACGTGGACGGCAGTGTCGCCCTCTTCAACAAAAGCCAGACGCCTGTGGACGCAGTGTGGTGGAAGAAGCTCACCAGCGACAATGGCGCAGTGAAACACTCAGGGGACGACAGGACGGGGGAGGGCGGCGGTGACGATGAGGTCATCACTGTGAATTTGGAGAAGCTGCCGTTGGACATCCACTACTTGCTGTTTACAGTCTGCGTGTTCACGCCTGGCATGAGCTTCAGCCAGGTGAGCTGCTCGGGGTTCATGAATCGATCAATCGTGAAGTAGGGAAGCAGGTTCCAGTGCACTGAACGCATCAGCTTTCAGCACAGTGCCTGCCACCATATATAGGAAAGACTTTGAGGTCGCCAAAAGCTGCAACGTCAAACAGTTGTTGTGTCAAAAACTTTGCACTGCTGTGCATTGCAGGACGCTTGCAAAGCACTTGCTGTACACTGCAACCACAATTTACCACTCTGAAATGTTGTTCTGCTGGGGTTCGTCTTCCTGTTGCTGGCAGCAAGATTGTTTGAACCAAACAGTTGTTGTGTCGAAAACTTTGCACTGCTGTGCATTGCAGGACGCTTGCAAGCACTTGCTGTACACTGCAACCACAATTTTACCACTCTGAAATGTTGTTCTGCTGGGGTTGGTCTTCTTGTTGCTGGCAGCAAGATTGTTTGAACCCATTGGATTAGGAGGCCAGCCTTGTATTGAATGCAATGCATCCCAAGAATGATGCCCATGCCCACAATGCTGTAATGCACAGCATGTACACAGTCGTTAACAATTCAACAGTGGCATTCGGCTTGGATCCCTCAAGGCCAGAAATTGAACCTTGCTATTCACGAACAGCTGCAGCTGCATTCCCGTTGGAACAGTGGTCATCTGTGGGCATCGTGACAATAATGGAAACCAATGTGTAATGTAGCTGGTCAAACTGCTAGTGGACTTGGTTTCAAGAAAATCCATGGGCAGAAGAGCAACAACAGAACAGATTAACTTTGCATTGTGCTGGAATGTTCAGATCAAAAATGTGAAAACATCGAAAACAATGGACACCACGAACCACTGCAGCAGAAACATCCAGTTTGACCGATTAAAATGCCTGGAACATGACGATCTCCCTGTGTGCCCCCCTGGGTAGGCATCCAATAAACTCTGTATTTCTTTTGCATGAAATGGTAGTCTATTTAGTAGTTAGTGTTTAGCAGTTCGTGTACCCTCTACCTAAACTCCAAGCCGCTGCAAAGCCTAAGACGGAAAGGACGCAGCGTAAACACATTGTCACACCCTCTCCAGGTGCGCTCGGCCTACGTGCGCATGGTCAGCGCCAACCCGAGCCACAAGAACCACGAGATGGCTCGCTACAACCTGACGGAACTGCAGGGCACAGCGATGCTGCTGGGCATGCTCACACGCCAGGGCGCCTACTGGTGCTTCACGGCCCTTGGGTCGCCTGCGCCCGGCCGGACGGTAGAAGATGTCATCAAGAATGCGGAGGCCATGAGGGCGACCTTGTCACTGTGCCCATCCCGGGAGCCTGGCATTCGACACATCACCCTGCGGGTGGTGAAAGGCAGAAACCTGGTGGCCAAGGATCGTGGCGGTGTGTTCAAGAAGAAGGGTTCTTCAGATCCGTTTGTGAAGGTGACTGCAAACTAGCCTCTTAGTTGGCTGTCTCAGATGGATGCACCATCGAAGTTTATGCTTGGGTTCGTTAGTTGTTGCATTGGAGAGTATTTTTGATGCATGTTTGTTCTTTGCTTTGCTTTTGTTGTCTTGTGAACTGTTGCTTGAAGAATGTGCTTTCTGACAGATGTAATGCAATGTGCAGCACAGTGTTGCAACTGGTGGATGAGGCTGAACACTTGCAAGAAAATAATTATGGATATGACCTTTTCCTGGTGAATGCAAGGGGAGGGCATTGCTGCACTTTCCTGGCAGCATGTCGTCTACACATATTGGCAATTTTCTTGCAGATTTCTGATACGTAAATTAGCACACAGTGGCAGATGTATGCTATTGCTTGGCCTGCACGTTTCCAAGGCTAAGTTGACGCACACATTCTACTGCAAGACAATCACGCACATTGTGTCATGTGTCGTGCACATTCCACTGCATCTCCACAGTCATCGCAATGACTGCAACACGCATTTGAATCTGTCAGCTGGTGTTGTCCATTGTTCTGGATGGTGGCTTCTTTTTCTCCCAGAGATGGAAAAGTTAAGGGGCAAGGGTGGGGTTCCTACGTAGTTGATGCCATTTATAATATGGCATCGACGTGAGGATTGACACCAGGGAAGCAAGGGGCATGTGATTTGTTGAACATCAGTAGGTCAAACAACAGGGCACACCCTCCTAAGCATGTGTGTGTGGGACTCCTGTGAAAGGTTATGTAGGATCTCCCTGCGCAGGATGAGCACACATCACAAGCAACATGAAGATCAAGAAAACATGTACTCATAGGGATGTTTAGAAGCAGGGGTGCATGTTTGCAATGGTGTGGGTTTGAACATAACATTATGTTCTTATCAGGTGTGGCAAAGGCTTGTTTGCATCACCTTGTATGGGTGCGAGCAAAGTGTTTGCTTCATGTCTGTTGATCTCCATAGGATGCAACAGTAATCCTTGACTACTCTTGATTACTTCACACAGAAGTACTTGTGAACACTTATCATACTTATTATTGTATTTGCCAGTGTTTGCCAGTACTTATTAATGCAAATCCGTCTGAAACGCATCTGGGACTGTGCACAGATCAAGTACAAGAAGCTCAAGCTCCAGTCCGAGGTCATGACAAAGACCCTGGACCCCGTTTGGAACCTGAGGGCCATGGACCTCGGCAGCGTGCTGGAGTCGGAGTCCAAGGCCATCAAAATGACCGTGTGGGACTACGACAAGCTCTCAGGCAAGGATTTCATGGGTGCCATACGCCTGCCCGCGGCCACCCTCTTCGCCCGTGGCCCCGGCCGCCATGAGTGGTGGATCCCCCTCACCAAGGGCAAGAAGAGCAAGCACCAAACCTCGGCCGTGTCCGGCGACCTTTGGGTGGAATGCACAGTGGAGGATGTCAGGCTTCCTGGCCAAGCCGGCCCAGCCCACCCTCAGGGCCATGGCCCTGCCGCTGTGGCCACCCAGGCTGGTCCTGGAGGCTATCCCCCCGCTCAACAGGGTGGCTATCCACCCCAAAGTGCACCCGGCAGTTACCAACCACAAGGTGGCTATGCACCTCCACAAGGCGGCTACCCCCCACCACAAGGCGGCTACCCCCCACCACAAGGCGGCTACCCGCCACCACAAGGCGGCTACCCACCACCACAAGGTGGCTACCCACCACAAGGCGGCTACCCACCACAAGGCAGCTATCCTGGAGCCCCTGGCGGTTATCCTCCTCCTCAGGGGGGGTACCCCCCCATGCAGGGCCAACAGGGAGGCTATCCACAGTGGCCGCCGCAGGGTCGCGCCTACCCGGGTGCCCAGCCCACACAGGGCGCCGCGGATGGCTGCCCACCGCCCAGCGCGCCACCGCAGGCACAGGAAGGGTACGCATGGCCGCCGCCACAAGGCGGCGGCCCACCACCACAGGTTGGCGCTCCTGGCTACCCGAATGCGCCACCGGCACAGGGTGCTCCCGGGTATCCAAATGCTCCCCCACACCAGAGTGGGGCCCCTGGCTATCCTGGATTCCCCGGTCCCTACCAGGGTGCCCCGCCTGGCGGGCAATGAAGAGTTTCGGGTCTGTTGGAGTAGTGTCGAATGTCCTTTTGTTTGGGATGAGGCTTCCCTTGGGCACTGTGCAGCCAGGCCTGTGGCGCTTTTGGTGTTGGCTGTGTGGTGGATGGCATTTGGATCACTGCACTGGCGTGTCATTTCCAAGGCAGAGCCAGGGAAGCCCAGCATGAGCTCAGATGCCCTGCCGTTTGGATATTCCTGGACTAGGATTTGTCAGCACTCAGGTGTGGGGTATTAAATTGTTTGGAGATGGTGCACAGCCGTCAGGCAAGACTGCTCGATGGGCTTTTCTTAGCCAGCCGACCTGGGACTGCGGGCTGACTTGCTCTGAGTGAGCGTTGTTGACGTTGCTGGCTGGATTGCGGTGAGTTTCGAAGCTTTTGAAAGTGTGCTGTGACTCTGTTCGGTGAGAGCGGATTTTGAAATGGGTTCACAGCCTCACAGTCCATGCCTGTGCAGGGCCGCTGCCAATGTTGTCCGCATGAACCGTGCTGAAGCTGGGGACAGAAAGAGACAGCTCCATTGGTGCAACAGGTGTTTATTGCGGACTAACGGGGGGTCTAATTTCTTCAGAGCTTCAGTACAATTGGTTGCAAATGTAATGAATTAGTAGAATGCTGAGGACACTGCAAGTGCAGACACACTTGTGCGCTCTGCACATAGTCGATCGGTCTGTTTGCAAACGGACATGTTCCTTCGATCCGGTTTTCTTGGGGCCCTTGTCCACTAGGGCGGAGGCCGTGCAGCCAGCTCCCTTCGGCAGGTGCCGTTGAGACCCAGGCTATCGCTAAACCTTCGCTGTCTAATGGCCGGTTCCAAGGGGTCCGTAATTGATCTGCCTGTGTCTGAGCGTGCCAGCCCCTTGGGGCTGTTGGAATGGTGCCAACCTCCGCTGACATGCATTCCCTTTTTCCAAAATGTGTATACATCACATATCTAATAGTTCAAGCGTGAACACCGTCCTCACAGAAGAGATGTGGGCCTTGTGCCACCCATTGATGGTCAAAGCCCAACAAGCGGGCTGGAAGTCAGAGCCCCAATGAACACATCTGATGGCATCAAGGTCAGCGGCGCTGTCGCATGCCAAATTAAGGGTCATCAATTGTGCTTGGGCGTTGCAGTGCCACACGAGAATAAGTTCAGAACGGGGATCTCAACATCATCGGTGTCCTGGAAGAAGATTGCCGGGGCGCGTACGTCTTCGTCGTAACTACATTTGGCACATGACAAAGCAGAACCCCTTGCACAAAAACTGGCGATGTCGGGCAATCGCCCAAAGCACATGTTTCTGTTCGAATCCACAGAGTTTGTTCACGACCGCTGCCGTGGGACTGCTACCCACGAAAGCGCGAAGACCAGGGATGGAGGCGAGTTGGGTTCTCGATTTCGGATTGGGAAGGCCCTCGGTAAAGAATGGAAGGAGTTGGCTCCCAGGGATCGGTGTCTCGCACAGTGCTGTGCAGCCCTGCGTGGTCCCGGCGAGAATCAGAGCTTTCGCAATTGCAATAACAGACAAGATAGAGTACAGCAGTTATATTGTGACCAGAGTGTATCAAATACAATTAATATCAATGGCGCCTATTGACACGCCAATCCAGAATGAGTGCACCCAAGGAGCACACGGCAACAACCTGTATTAACTTCAAACCAACGTGAAGCCTTCCCAGAAACCGTGTGCAAGGCCCAAAATATCACATGGCCATGCGGGCCATAGCCATCAGTCGATCAGGATTTCCATGGAAAGGTTCATGCAGGTGATGAGCTTCCACATCTGAACTTAAGGAAAGTTGGCGACGGAGAATTCTAATGCGAATGACGTCAGCTGCGAGAAATACTGCAAGCAAGAGCGCCACCATGGAGCCCTGGATGTGGGGTCCATGGAAACAGTTGGAAGGAGGCCCACAGCCGAATGGGTTGTTGTCGCTGAACGCCAGCCAAAGGCCAATCTTGGAAAGAGCGGCAGTCGGATGGGGACATAATGAGGCCTTAGCAAGAAACAGTGTGAGCAACACTGTAACGTCTATGAGGGGTGTATTCATGGTGGGCTGGATTCCCTCATCTGCCCTTTGCGGACGGCCAAAATACCTCAACTATGGCTTTCCGAGCAACCCTTGAATGTGTTCCCGCCGAAAGAGGCAGGAATCGGTTCATGCCTCTCGGGACATACAGCATCTCGCAGGGTATCCAGAATACCAGATGCCATTTGATGTATCGAGCCTTCACATATTCATCAATCAACCACCTGAGCATGATGTCATTTTCCTGTGCGCAGCATTTCCGCCATTTATGTCAGAATTTGATGCCAATGTCGCTCCTGAGGGCCAAGAATAATCGGCTTGCAATCTGTGCCTAACCATGGGAATCGCTCGAACTCGCCATGCATCATGCATGAAGAACCCTAATAACTACGTAATGACAAGAGTGGAAAACCTGCAAAAATTGTAAGGTTATCTAACAGGAATACTCCAGATGACATTTGGACATCTACGACAACTTGTTAAGTTTCCCTTCACATTGTGGTCACAATTTGCGACCAAATTTTCCACCAGTACATCTCTTGGACGAGCAGAAGATGCTGAACTTTGCATGATGCGGAGTTACGTGCCCTCACCTGTCGCTGGAGTGCTGCGTGGGCATGGTATAGAACCATGTGTGCGTATCGCGTTTGAATTTTCTGGCCGCCTTCCCGTGATATGCAACTGGATGAAGCCCACGTCTCCTTGGCCTTTGGCCGATCCGGAGCACCTGACCTGCGGAAGATTCAGCAGTTGAGTCGGTGTTTATATTTGCCAACAAGAGCTCGATCAAATCGAGATCAATCAAGACACGTCTTGCATTCGTTTCCTGTATGCAATAGATGCCGATGAAGCCACCACCAATTTCGGTTTTCCAGATGGCTTTTGCTTTTCATGCAAATGGGCGCTGTGCAGAAATATGATCTGGGAACATTTGCCAATTGTGAGGTGGGTGTTTCCATGTCCGCCACCGCATGCAATGTGCCGTAAACCACGGAGCATAGTTCCCCCCCCCCAGGGCTGACGTTAGTAATGCGGGGGGCGCTATCTTCCGTGCCCCTCATGTTTGTCATCAAGTCGCTGACTCAGTAGCGCCCACCCGTGTTATCACGGTGGCCTCGCACCGGCAGCAAAGCGTGCCGGGGCCCCACCAACTTGGCGCATTACGTAAGGCGCCATTCACGGCAGCAACCAAAACCAGCGCCAAAAAGTTGAAAGGACGCCACAGATCGCTGCACTATGCCGCGCCACCCGCGTTGCCAGATTGATTGGCAAAGCGAACCGGCGCCTGGCCAATGTAGCATATTACACAGCATTACATAAGACACCTGTTCGAATTACCAGTAATTGACCACTGATCTACCTCCGTCAATTACTGATTTGTAATCCGATGATTAAATGGTGGCATATGAGAATCCCGTTTCGAGGAATGCCATCAACAATATCTTTGGATGGCTGTCATTTTTCTCGATGTTTCACATGCAACTTTCCAGTTCTCATAACTGGAGGTCAGTGGCTGAACACTGATGTGCAGTGAAACTCAATGAGAGCAGTGAATACATATCAAAAAGCCAAGCTAAAGAGATGAAAGTCTGACACACCATGACAGGCGCAGCTGCCATGTTATGCAAGCACCTGTTCATGTGCTGGTTGACTGGTGCACACATTGACCTGATTGAGATGGCAGGAGGACGGCCGGCCAACAATTAGCTTCAATCTTACTAATTTTCGGGATCATGAGTTGGCACTGTGGGGTGGAGCTGTGGGTTGGTGCCGTGGGTCGATGCCAGGGGTCGGTGCTGTGGGGTAGCGTGTTGTGCGTGTGCAAAGTGTGAGTTCAATCCGGCGCTCTGAGTGTGAGTGTTGGTGGGCAAAAAAAGAGGCGCATTCTGGTATTTAAAGAGAGCCCGAGACTGTTCGTGGCTTCTCTTGGTTTGGTTGTAAGACAAGTTGAGTCTTGGCTGCTTGTCCGACCATGCACGGCGAGTGCGTTTGAGCACCGTGTGCACCAAGGTTGCCACAGAGGTCGAACCAAAACGGTTTGACTTGTGCTGCGTTGTGGCCCATCGCTGCGCGTGCATTCGATTGCGACGAGCGGGACCTCGAACCGGGATGGCTAAGGAACTTTATCATGGTTTCGGAGCCTTGTTCCTGGCCTGGGCCCTGGTGCTGTGGCTTGCAAGCGTTGATGCTGCAACCCAGCAACAGGTTGGGACTTACCGTCCTAGCTAGAATCTTTCCTTGATCGGTCGCGCCTCGCACGGCGTGACTCGATGGCTGGGATGGTCATGTCCCACGCCAACAATTCCCGAGTTCGAGGTGGACCTGCGAATGGATCCACCCGCTCGAACGTTAAGGAGCGTGCTGTACGGACGGGAGAGAAGTGTACGC